ATGTCTGCTTAAGTTAAACGCAAATGGGTTGACCGCCAACTTGGTATGAAATCATACAAAGCATTTAAGACCCAGCCTAGATGACCATATCTTGGTCCCCAAGGATTGGAAATTATGGGAATTTTTTTACTTAAGTCTATAGAGTCTCCCCGAAACACTGTAGGAAATTTTTGGGCGTTCAATCACATTCCCCCTAATATTTAAAGTAAGGCTTCTTTGAAATCAACAAAATTTTCCCATAAGATTGGTTTGACATCGTTATTATTCATTTGTTATACTCACTAATTCTGTTTTTTATAATCTTCGAGAACATAATTGGAGGTGCAGATTGTTGAACTTACTGACTGAGGCATCGGGTTTTCACGTTTTACGTATGCCTTGCACAAGTTGGGATAAACTGTTACTCTAACTTAGTAGCAGGTTTTGTTTTAAACCATCTACAAGGTTGCCATTATTTAAAACCCCAGACTTACTTCCGATCAACTTCATTCATTGTCGATTTACGTATATTCCGATATTTCTCCTAACCCTATTTATTATTCTACAATACATACCAACTCTTGATATTGATTCTTGACGAAACACCATGAAAATGCTCTGTTTTGTCTTTGGGTTGTTTTCAACACATTGCTTAATGTACGCAAAATGCACATACAGTAGTCTTTTCGCCTTGGTTTGTGATTTAATCAGTCAATTCTACTGATCGTGTGCAATTCTTTGTAAATATCTCCAATTAAGTTGTCTCTGTTATTAATACCTTGAAGTTCCAATCCCTCAAACTTGACGGAAACGTCTCCAGTTCTAGTGAAATACGACCAAGATCCTCAAAACTTTCCCTGATCTGAGGTTTCTCCTCAAAATTCCTACTAACTGAGGAAATCCATCGAACTTGGTTGAAAACCCCGCAAAATTTGCAATTATTTTAGGAAAATCCCTCCAACGTTGTGAGGAAATCTTATAGGCTTCATTGAAAAATACCCATAATTTCTGATGTAAAAGGCGTTTTTCTATTTTATTCAAGGTTGATTTTGCGCCATTTAGCAAACTCCATGAAATTCGAAAATTAGCATCTAACTATTTTGCACTTTAACATATTTTCCGTAGCGCATCATTATACATAAAGCTAATAAAAGACTTGACTTGTAAAATCGTTCTACAATGAACACTGTTTTGAAGATAAAATATGGATCCGCAATGACAGTTTATTCCAGTTATCTATGAAGTCCTGTCTAGTCAACACCAGTAGTATCTTACGTCGCTAGTCACCAGACTGATGTGTTATAAATAGAATGGTATATTAAATCTAAAAAAATATATGTACATTTTTCAAGAATAATTTGTCACTTCATATTCTTTACAGTTGGGACATAGCAGTTGGTTTAATTCTTATGATCTAGTTCAGATTTCGTTTACAACGTTCTACAAGTAAAAAGTAATACGTCAGTCTTATATGTAATAAGTTTAAAAGTAATATCAATACTGTTCCGATAATATGGGTCAATAAAGAAATTCTCGATGTAATGATGATCATGAAACTTGGATATTGCTCTGTTGCTGAAATGCGCGCTGCAAGATCCTATAGTTATATATGAAATGTGCATGAGCTATAAAACATTATGTAACAACTTTTACTGACGTTTACTTACAGTTGTGTCGATAATTGTTTGTAAAGCCGATTGGAAAAAACACAATAAGTAGTAGTTTAGACATAAACCTATGAAAAAGACTGACTAATATATATGTGGATATTGAATAATACATTGGGCTTAATTGACTTTGGATTACTATTTACGCTTATTCACTTTATTCCTTGTGTCGTGCAAGAAAGTCTGACTTGCAGCATCCATAGCTTGTATTATGTATTTATCCGGACAGTTCACACTTTTAAACAGTGAACACAGAAAATCTAACCAAAAATGTTTACTATAATCTTGACTTATTGCGCGTTGTTCTGTAGAATCTGTGAGTCGTTATGCCCATTTTGCTTTTAGTTTCATCTAGGGTATAAGTAAAAGCTAGTTTTGACGTCAACACGTAAGCTTCGAGATATTTCTCATATTTCTCAATCGCCCTGATAAACGTTATTAAATAAATCCTGAAATGTGTATGAATTGAGAAGGCAGTACGAAGCACCGACTACAGTTTATTATTGAATAGCACAAATCATTAAGCCAGAAACACAACAAGCAAATTCGAGTAGAAAAGCTAATACGCTCGAATGAACGAATACCGAAGCGAACTAAGACTCGCATAGAGAATCGAATGAAGAGTCGAATCAATTAATAAGATTCAAGGATATGTATATAGGGAAGAGAACGACTTGTCGGGAACTTTTTAAAAAAAAACTAACATTTAAGGTAGAGAGAGGGATATGTGAGTAGACTGTCACATGTGATCAAGTGTACACGTTCATCTAGACATGATAGTAATACAAAGATTTACAGATTTTTACTGTTCGAATAACACTGTCTGTCAAATAAGTTAATTGAAGAGCTCGAAAAAACTAAACAAAAACAAACTTAAGTGTAGGAGAGGTGCTATGCATGTCAACAACATCAACAGAAGGTGGAAGTTGTTGTGTGAGCACCTCCGTTTTGAAAGAACTTATTTGTAAGCATTTCTAATATGAGTTTATTAGTCATGTGTGCAAGTAAACTTCTTTAAAATGTCTTAATTGCTTGACTGTTAGCCTAAGCTTATCTAAAAGAATAAAATATAGGAACTGCTGTTGATATCACTATTACATGAAAAATTAACAAATAATAATCCTTTTAGTACGGATAGAATTCCATCTACCAAGTTGTAATGTGACCACTAGTCTAAGTGACTCAATATCTCGTGCACTATGTTGAGATAAGATGATGGCTGAAAAAAGTCAACAAGAAACCCTGGACCGAGGTTTCGTATTATTTGGTACTTATCAGCAAAATGTACCTGTAATCTTGAGGGAGTATCAGTTTCATCAAGATTACACGTACACTTTGCTGACAAGTGCCTAGGTCCAGGATTTGCTGTCAACTACTCACAACCACCGTCTGATTATAAAAGTACCCTAACATGATTCACAGAGATGTTCTGATAGTATATTTTACTAAGTGGCATGCAGCCCAACAGTTTCATCCTTATTTTAGTCAGTGAGTATTTCGACCAGCTGTTATGTAAATGAAAGTTTGGAAAGTTTTGGCACTTTAAGACATTGTCTAGACATTTATGTCTTCTTATTTCAAGTATCCTGTTGATAATTATCATCTTTTGATAGTGTAGCGTGGCGTTGAGTCGAGATTAACTATGAACACTGCTACCAAGAAACACGTGCCAAGTAAATCAGAAGGTGAAGGTTGAACGTAACCAAATAAACCCATAAAATCCCCGAGAAGCCAAATATCAGAAGGCAGTTAATGGACCAAGTCCAGATATAATTGCTGGCGATCTCGTGGTATCGAAAGGATACCGAGATCGTGCCAGGATACAAGCTTGGTTACAGAACGTAACCGAATTCGCGCGAAGTCACAATCAAAGTGTAAGAATAAGAATGGAAGCACAATATAGCTGTCATTAGCACAGTCAAACAAAAGCACATTAAAACAAACACTGGTACAGTTGGTTATAATAATGATTGTTTTTATTAAACCAGTCATGTTCTCGTGATAAATGTGAGTCACTACAATAGTAAAACCAAATTATCAATGAAACATAACTAAATAGTTGTGTAGTCTAATTAATAAATAATCAGAAACTCACTATATTTAACTCAGCACAATTTCGACCGGTAAGGTATGATATTATTAAAAATATGAAATTTTATAATTAGAGTTACACTGAAATATTTTTGTAATCAACGTAGAATTGAAACCTAGTAATCAACTGGATCTCTATAGAAAGAAGTAGTTTAATTGGATTTGATATGCTAACCGGTAAATCCCAGGACTATCCAATGTGTACTTTAGTAGTGGATCAGTATTCAAGCCGAGAGAAAGCATATTTAAAATGTTAGAAGTTCTAGTTAGAAGCAGTGACCAGTGGAATTTAATCGGGTCTGTTGTGAGATAGTAACTCATTGAAGACAATGGTGGACGTGTCTCTCAATTTCGTGGATTATTTGAAGTTAAACATTTACACCGTTGGATGCCGGCTCAGCGGTCTAGTGGTCAAGCGCTCCCGTGCGAGACCGATGTGTCCTGATTTCGAATCTCGCTACTGGGGATCATGGATGTGCACTGTTGAGGAGTCCTAAAATAGGATGAAACGGCATTCCAGTGCTTCCAGGTTTTCCATGATGGTTTAGCTTCAATTGACACATGATCTTAACCATTAAAATTACTATAATATCCACAAACAACCCCTTCTGACATTTAAAATAGCTGCTTTTTAAAATTCGAATTTGCTACACAAAAAATGTATAAATTAATCACCATTACATACAAACATCACAATCTCCTGTCACAATCGACTGACATACAAATCAGTAATATAAAGACAGATGATTAGAAATCGAGAATCCATTCAACTCAAACTTTTCTTACATTTAATTCTGTTATAAGAAATTTAGTCACCAACCTCTTGGACAAAATCAATCAACAAGATAAAAAACAAACAAACAAACTAGGAAACAAGCATTATGTAACAAACCACAACATTATTCATAATCAATAATATTCAAATATAAAATTCGCTCTCAATCTAATTCATTTAAAGAATTCATGTTCATTTAAACAAAAGTTTACATGAAAATAAATAAGAAATTGTTTAAATTTTATTTAAATAAAACATTCACAATTATAAATATTCAACAATAAAATAAAACAATATTTTATTATAAAAGTTTATTCTAACATGAAGTGATTTAATTATTTGAACTTTGATTACATTGAAGTAATATTTACCCTTTTTATCTATAAGCATATCCATATTAGATAATAATATTCAGTGATATGGTTCCATTATTATTATTATTATTATTATTATTATTAAGACAAATAATGATCGATTACATAATTAAACCTGTTAATGATGATGAGGAATAATGTTAGTGAAAAAAGTTCTTGATCAATTTATGTATAAATATTCATTATATAATTAAAGTAGAATGATAATAATTAACCATTAACTATGAAATCATTATTTATATTGTGTTTACTTATTTCATTAGGTAAGTAGTGAATTCATGAAATTTATTATTCATCTTACATTGTATTCTTTTGAAATTTCAGTATTCTGTATGAATAAAGTGATGGAAGATTCTACTCAACAGTTACAAGTTCAAAAGGTCAGTAAAATCAATGAAAATTGTCTGACTGAATATTTAATGAAGTTGAGATATTTATGATCTCTGTTTTTTTTCAATAAAGTAGACTGTGTTACATTGATGTGAGATAAATTTTGTCGACTGAAAAATCTTATAGACCTAGTTAGATAAAACTATCACTTACTTACTTACGCCTGTTACTCCTCGTGAAGGAGCATAGGCCGCCAACTAGCATTCTTCATCCAACACTGTCATGGGCAATCCTTTCCAGCTCCTTCCAGTTGTTATTCATCCATTTCATATCTGCTTCTATTTCCCGACGTAATGTGTTCTTTGGTCTTCCTCTTTTCCGCTTCTCTTCAGGATTCCAAGTTAGGACTTGCCTCGTGATGCAGTTTGATGGTTTGCATAATGTATGTCCTATCCACTTCCAACGTTATTTTCCCAATTTCCTCTTCAACTGGGAGCTGGTTTGTTCTCTCCCAGAGTAGGTTGTTGTTGATGGTATCCGGCCAATTGATGTTGCGTATCTTGCGTAGACAAATGTTTTTAAATACTTGTACCTTCTTGATGATGGTTGTAGTAGTTCTTAAAGCTTCATCTCCGTACAGTAGAACTTCCTTGACGTTCGTATTGAAGATTCTGGCTTTAATATTGGTTAAAAGTTGTTTTGAGTTCCATATGTTCTTCAGTTGCTTAGCCAATCCTTGCCTTTACGTCTGCATCTGACCCTCCTTGTTCATCGATGATGCTTCCCAGGTATGTAAAGGATTTTACATCTTCCAGAGTTTCGCCATCAAGTGTAATTGAATTGGTGTTTTCCGTGTTGTATTTGAGGACCTTGGTTTTCCCCTTGTGTATGTATAGGCCTATTGATGCAGAGACTGCTGCTTCACTGACGGCCTTTGTCTGCATTTGTTCATGTGTATGCGATGAGAGGGCCAGGTCATCTGCGAAGAACAAATCGTCTAATCGGTTCTGAGCTGTCCATTGTATGCCATGTTTTCCCTCAGATGTCGAGGTCTTCATAATCCAGTCGACCACCAGAAGAAAGGGGGAGAGGGAGAGTAAACAGCCTTATCTGACTCCAGTCCTTACTTGGAATGCATCTGTCAACTGTTCTTACTGCACTAATTTGTACTGTAGTCCGTCGTATGAGTTCCGGATAATGTTGACAATCTTCTCGGGAACTCCATAGTGTCGAAGAAGTTTCCATAAAGTTCTCCTATCTACACTGTCAAACGCCTTGTCATAATCAATGAAATCATATAACACTCTAAATATATTATAATTATATTCCTGAATTAAATAGACAGTTTCTTAATGAATATGCATTAAAATATTTAATTTAGTTTACAGTTCAGTTTACAAATTAGCTTATAGTTAGTGAATAGGTCATATATATTTGACTTAGCGCTTTAAATTCTTGAATGTCACTTTAGAATAACGCACACTATCTTGTCAGAGTCATATTACGCTTATATTAAAGTATGTTTACTTGCTCAAATGGAGAATCTAAGTATTTTTTCATCTATATCAAGTCTATATTTTGTCCACCTATCTATAGGAACAAATTAGAGTTTCTCCGTTATCTTATTATACTTAATAGAATCATTAACTTACTGTTATATTTAGCTTCAACATAAGAGCGATCGATTATAGGCTGATTAAAGGTTCTAACTCAACATAAATCTAATTATCTGCCTTTACACTTTAATTCAGAATTCATAGAGGACGATAGTCTAATTTACTTACGCCTGTTACTCCCAATGGAGCATATGCCGCTGACCAGCATTCTCCGACCCATTGGGAGTTTAAAGATATCTACAAAAAATTGAGAACTTAGACTTTTGCGTTTTTCAATGATTATATGTTTTCAAAAAGAAGGATTTATCTCCAAAAGACGATGGTAAACTATAAAATGAAGTAATAGAGTACAGTGTTATTCAGAATAATCTAATCTGTTACATTCTATCAGTCTCCTGCAAGTACACAACACGAGCAAACGTATTATAGATGAAAAAAGTAACAGATAGGGGTTAAAAATAAAAAAGGCAATAGACACGTCAATGTTAAATCGGAGTTATGTTTAACCAATTCTTTCTTCATTCTGTTCACTTTGTTCTTTATTATTACTCTTTTGAAAAACAGTATAATAGAAGAGGAAGTCAACCGAACATTTTCCGTAAGTAATTCTGTCATTAAATCAACTAGCGATAAAATGTATATTTATTGAAATGTATTCATATTTGACTTTTCAATATATCAGAAGGGGTTTTGTGGAGATTGTAGTAATTTCAATAGTTGATATCATGAGTCAATTGAAGCTAGACCACGATGGAAAACCTGGAAGCACTGGATGGCTGTTTCGTCCTATTGTGGGACTCCCCATCAGTGTGCATCCATTATCCCAGGACCTATCAGTCTCGCGTCTCAGCGCTTAACCACTAGACCAATATATGACGTACAACTTGTTTCACTTTTTATTACCCATTTAATTAGATCAAATTTGTTCAGTGTTTTTTTAGTACATTAATTGCTGTACTCAAGTCAAAAATCTCAAAACGAATGGAGTACATTAAAAACCTTCAAAATATTATCATACTGCGAATTATACTAAATGAATCTATCCAATGAAAACAGACATCTTTGAGTTCTAAACAAGTTTTAAGTACTAATTAAAAATATAAGCATAAATATTCAGTAACAATGTTGTGTGGTTGAAGACAATTAATAAGAAACCCTGATACTTAGATGTTTTGCTAGTTGACACTCGTCAACAAGTTATACCTGTGATTTTTAGTGAGTAGTTGTCACGGCAAGGTCAAATTCCTGCTGACTAATTCCAACCAACTAACATTAAAATATCGAATCACTTAAATTGGTGGTCACATTGCGACTTGATCGACAGGATTTGGTTAACACTAAGGACTAGAAAAACATGATATTTATCATTATTCAATGATTAATCAACGTATATATTTAACAATCCCAGTTTGGATAGTAATCTGCGTGTTGATACGATAGTATAACAGTTGATATTGAATATTAATATTTGAGTAGTGAGAAACCTATACACGAAATTAACTGAATTCGTAAAGGACAACTGTTCTGTCAATATTTCATATGGTTAACTTTTTAAGATCAAGTGATCTCTAAATGTTTTTGTTGTGTAAATGATGAGGCTGTTTAGGATTCGATGAACTGTCCAAATAATAATAAGTATATTGAACAGACCTTCTAATAACATCAGAGCGTTAACAATTACGTACATATGAATTAGTGTTTGCAATAGCATGAATTAAGTGTAACTTTGCACAATTCTTTTTCCCTAATGTATTGTAATCACAAATCAATTTGATTGTGATAATGTTCCACAACTTATTCTCTACTAATAATGAATCGAATTTCTTTGATATTCCTATGTTTAAAAGGTACTATCATCAACAAATATCTTTGTATTAGCTGTATCTAAACATCTTAATGAGCATATTCAATTTTAGAAGAAAATGTACCCATAAGCAAATTAAACTAAATCCCCAAAAATTAGCTTTACAATTCTTTAAAATAAAATAAACTCAAGAATAAGTTAAAGCAATTAGTCCTTTTTGTGAATTTCGATAGAGCAATGAGAATACGGAATTGATCTGTTCTACGCTATGCATTTTGAACATTTCTGGTTGCATATATACTTGTCAAGGCATTTAATATGAAGATGAATAGAGGTTAATTAGATGAAGGTTCAAGTAAACAAGGTAATAAAGGGGAGGGAAAGTTTTTAAAATCGTATAGAAAGAATAAGAAACTGTCACATTATCCTAGGCCATAAAATGACTCAAGGATTACCAGAGTAAATTCAAGGTTACAACAAATTGTTTTTGTACACATAAGGGATGTTTAAATTTACGAATAGCCAAGGATTTAATAAATCTGAGAATTCATCCTTAACAATTTCTATGCAACGTTTTAAAAACTGTATTGATATCAATTTTGCGTCAGTTATGTCAATTATGTGTTTGGCTATCGATGAGCATGGTTTTCTACTTCCCACGTTAATCGGTTCATTTGAAACTAACTGGTTTTAAAGCTATCTAGGTACATCTTGCATGAGCCTTGTTTCCATTGTTCGATTACTCCTCCCTATGTATGTGTGTTTGCACAAACATGTAAATTGGTAAATGCAATAGGATGTGACGCACTCATTTGTGTTTTGTCTATGTCTATTCGGAATCATGGGCTTAGACTTTCCAATCATAACCAGTTTAGCAATATAATATGTTTTCTCGATAGCTACTTTCAATCTGTCTTAAAAGCATACTATTGAATTCACCTCTATATGGTAGATAACTATAAACTTTTCTCTTTGGGATCGAATAAAAATTATATTATATTATATGGTTAAGCGGTCGCGCGCGAGACTGATAGGTCCTGGGTTCGAATCTAGCAGGGGGCGAGGTCGTGGATGCGCACTTCTGAGGAGTCCCATAATAGAACAAAACAGCCATCTACTGCTTCCTGGATTACCATGATGGTCTAGCTTCAATAGACTCATGATCTCAACTATTGAAATATTATATTATAAATATTATATTTACATCATTTTCTCTGTCAATTTCAGAGTGCATTACTTGTAAAAGTGGTACTGGAAATGTTTTAGGTATGATTTTAAGTCCATCAACAAACAAGTCGATCAATAAAATAATTGAAACACTTTGTATGGAAACAGGTCCATTTAACACTTCCGTAAGTAATAAATAACATTTTCAATATTCAGTTCATTATATATATATACATGTATCTTTCAAAATTATAACAATATCTTTAAGTGAACAATGTTGTTTTCAATTAAATCATTATCAGACTTTACCCTAATATACAATTACATATATGGAGATACTAAACCAATCAATCCAGTTTAGTAGGATCATCCGTTTTGTTCCTTAGAACTTATCTTGAACCGATTGATGTTAGACCACCAATGAAAACCTGAAAGCACAGGACGGCCGTTTTGTCCTATTGTGGGACTAACTTTGTGAGAGAATTCTCGGAGTTTTAGTGAGAAGCCGTGACCAGTGGAGTTATTCCGTGTAAGGTAGAGACAAGTATTTACCTCGGTACAATGGAAGATGGTCCCGCAATTTCCTGGATTGGTTGAGGTTAGGCATTAACACCGTTGAAAGCCGACTCACTGGTCTAGAGGTTAAGCATTCACGCACGAGACTGAAGAACCTAGGCTCGAATCCCGACAGCAAGATCGTAGGTGAGCACTGCTAAGGAGTCCTACAATAGGACGAAACGGCCGTCCTGTGCTTCTAGGTTTTCAATGGTGGTCTAACATCAATCGGTTCAAGATCTCAATCGATAACTTAATAATCTCCACAACCCTATACTGATAAGAACTGATCTTGTTGATTTGTCTAGTTTGCTATTGATTAAAATGTAAGCTTATCTAAGCATCTTGATATTGTTTGGTCAATGGTGATATCACGGTATATTTACCATTTTTACATTGTTGACATCTGTCAACCTATATAGCTTTAAATGTTGTTTATATCTCGAGTATGACCAGGATCAAGTTCGTTGTCTATAAAATAAATTCTCAAATTACACGTCCATATCTAGTCGACTAAATCAATATTCATGAACACAGAATTTTGAAAAAGAATCTGAATTATTATGAAAACAATATTGGTCAAATAATCCTTACAATGAGACACAGATAAATACAATAACACTGAATTTTACAAATAAGGATATATTGTGATGTTTTATCATAAGTTGACTAAATCAATGATTTATTTGAAGCTAGGCCACTATGAAGAACCTGGGAGAACTGGACGGCCGTTCCACTCTATTGTGGGACTCCTTAGTAGTGCGCATACACGATCCCACCTCGCGAGATTCGAACCCAGGACATATCGGTCTCGCGCGCGAACGCTCTAGGTTTTCCATGGTGGTCTAGCTTCAACTGACTGGTGAATTCAATTATTAAATTACTACAATCTCCACAAAACCCTCTATAATTATAAATGAATGAGTTCTTTCATACTGATTGTGAGATCGAAAGATTCTTGTATTGCAGAATTACAATGGGTTACTATTTTATCATTTCTGATCAGTTTTTAGGCAGATATGCATGATGAGTACAACTCAATCCATTTGTGGCTGCATCTATATTGTAAAGTCTCCTGGATTAAAAGGAAATGCTATAATATATGGTAACAAAATGAAATAAAATATGATCATGATGTGAATATGAAACTTCGAAGTCTTATATTTCAATATATCAGTTGTAATTAAAGTGGTGGACAGAATGACAAATATTACTTGCATGCAATGATTATCAGAAGAATAGTTACTAGAGAAATAGTTGACAGACAACAGTTTTACTCCTCACAATTTCTAGGATACTCTTTAGTTTTACCGCTTTATTAGTCGAAGAGGAGATTGAAAACTTCAGGTCTCAAAGTAAATATGCTCTCTCTAAATCATTTAGTTGATAACTAATGATCTATGTTTTTAACAGCAGTAAATTTAAGATTTAGCTCAAAAATGATTAAATCTCATCTATCGGTAATTGTTTCACTTCAGATCTAGTTGAACTTCATCAATTATAATTTATTACTGTATTTTCATGAATCTCGCAGTTTTACGGATACTATTGAGGACAAGATTATGATTCAAATGTTTTCTGTTGTTTCTTATCTGTTATTAATCCATGGTTTAAAAAAGCCATCTACAAATTCCTTACATTGTTAATGAACTCTTGAAGTTATAGTGAAAAGTCATGCCTAATTAAATTCAATTATTCCTGATGCATAGTGATTACCTGTCCATAGTATCACTTGTTGTTTGCTTTAGGTTGGTGTATTAATTTAGTGGTTTTGGAGAATAAATTAAACGGTTATGAAATATTCCCTATTCATGTTGAATAATCACTATTTTTAACATACATATAATACTTTAATTAAGTGTGTATTTGAATATCATTAGGAAAATATGTTGAAATTTTTGAATTTTCCGTTAACTTACCCAACTATGCTCATCACTTACACAAACAGGTAATCATGTGTCTAAGTTAGAAAAATTAACCAGAGGAATAACTGTCGGTTTCATTTGAGTTGGGTATGATGTAATGTCTAATGATTGTATTAATTTTTATGTTCTATAGTAGTTCTCATCTTCCTTCATTCATACGCCGCATGATGGAAGTTTCTACCAATAGGATTCAAAGATAATATTTACAATACTAGGCCGCTGATAATTGGTCATAATTAGTAACGCCCATCAACTTTATTCCCATTAAAACTTAAACTCTATTATAACATGTAGAACAATCATTTAAAAGAAACCGCTTAACCCCGGTAATAAATATATAAGACTACTATTAATCGTCTTAAGTAAATCATGCAGACGAATGTTAGGTTGATACAGTAAAAAGGCTAACGGCAAACACCTGTGAAAAGTTCTTATTTAAGACTAAATGTTATCAAATTGCTACACCAAGTGGGTTTTACTAAAATAGCTACTTAAATTACATTTTTTCTTAATATTACTTACGGTTATACAGAAAGTTTTCATTATTTTTTCTTTCTCATTTTCATGTTCTTATTTACAGTGTAGAATGTTTGCAAATGAACTTTCATTACAGGTCTTTTATCTTTTCCGTCATATAGTACCACAAAAGTGGTGTGCTGTAAGTTAGTATAGTATATCTTTAAGTAAAATATCAATCCTTCTTCTATGGTTTTAAATAATCTAAGTGAATTACCCCCCTCCCGCCACAGAACCACAATTTTAACTTAAAAATATAACTGAGTTGTTAATTAACTATTTTTTTCCCCACAGTTTCTCGGTTTCTGTTCTTACCCACCTATTGTACCTGGTAAGTTTATACAATTTTATGTTGTATTAAAATAATCTATTAATTTGCTTCAATTTCTATGGCTACTCATTACGAGTATATAAGAAGTGATATCATTATTGATTAAAAAAGCAAACAACCAACCAATCATAACATTATTGCAAGTTAAAAAGAAGGAATTATTGATTTCACACAAAACTATTCACAGTTATCACAAACAGATACCAATGAGAAATGCACATACACAGAGATATGTAGATCAATGCGATTTATTTATTATGTGCAATCAAATTAAACAAAAAAACAACAACCATTTTTTGATTTTTGACTAAAGTTAATTACCACTAGGCTGATTTCGATGGTTCATAATTTTCCATAGAGTTTTATTGATAATCAGCACATATTTGAATAAGATACTTTCAGGATATCAGTATAGGGTTGTATAGATTATTAAGTTTTTGATTGAGATCATGAACCGCTTGCTGTTAGATCACCATTGAAAACCTGGGAGCATTGGACGGCCGTTTCGTCCTATTGTGGGATTCCTTAGCAGTGCTCATCCACGATCTCGCTCTCCGGACTCGAGCCTAGGTCCTTCAGTCTCGTGAGTGAACGCTTAACCACTAGACCACTGAGTCGGCATCCAACGGTGTTAGTGTCTAACTTCAATCGATTCATGAATGGTTGTGCAACCATTCATCCTGTCTCTACCCGACACAGACTAAACTCCACTGTCCACGACATTAACACTGCTGGATGCTGACTCAGTGGTCTAAAGCCTAATTGTTCGCGCGCAAGGCCGAATGTCCTGATTTTGATTCCGTCATGCAGGACTGTGGATGAGTACTGTTGAGGAATCCCATACTTGGACGATACGGCTGTCCAGTGCCTTTAGATTTTCGATGGGGTCTAAATTTGATCGCCTCATGAATTCAACTATTAAAATTACTACGATCTCCACAAACCCTATTCTAGTCTATTTGAATTAACCAATCAAAACCTTTACGGATTGTGACCGTGCTTCTCTTATTTTGACTGAGTAGTTGAAACATTTATTCCTTCACAAACTGCCCCTATTTGACATTTTATTGAGTTCCTTCATCATTGCCCATACACAAGTTTATCAACCGTGTCTGTAGGTTTTTATTATCCTGTCATTGATATCCGAGATTTCGTTTGACCAGTGTCCTTCGGAGTATGTACATAGTCGTTGCTTTCATTTATATTCCCCATAAACACTAGTTCTAGTATATATCTGAACATATTATGGGCGCAAGTCGGTATCAATGAACAAGTTGATTATAATAAAATCAATTGAATTACGTAGTGATGAACTTCAAAACCGTATCAAGCTATCAACACACAAAGTATATTCTACGATATAGATTTATCAAGTGCAGTATCAAACCATGAACCTGTGAAAATCCTTAAATCTAACGTTTTTTTAACACCATTATTTATCATAAATTGACTAACGATATTTTCTACCCTGTTTACACACCGTCAGTTTGTAGATGTTGTCTTAATACTGGACAACTGATAAAATCAATGTTAATGTCGGAACCTTTTCTATCAGAATTATACAATAACACATTAACTATGTGTGATAAATTACCCAAATTATCAATCATAGTGAGTTTGTTTTATGTTGTATTCTTTTTTCAACGAATGATTCTTCTTTATAGTTCAACCAATTGATTGAATTAATTCAAATATTTGTCTAATACACTTAAACATATATACTCTATTGGTTTCAGTGATATACATAACCCTTTTTTTGAAAAAAAAATGATTAAATATTCACATTATACATTTAATTTTCATCTGCTTACTTAATTACTTACGCCTGTTACTCCCAATGGAGCATAGGCCGCCAACCAGCATTCTACAACCCACTCTGTTCTGAGCCTTTCCTTCTAGTTCTATCCAATCGTTGTTCATTCTTCTCATATCTGTCTCTATTTCTTGGCGTAATGTGTTCTTTGGCCTTTTTCTTCTCCTTTGACCTTGAAAATTTCAAGTGAGGGCTTATCTTGTGACGCAGTTGGGTGCTTTCCTCAATGTATGTCATATCTTTCATCTGCTTAGTCGTAGATATTTCTTTCAACATTCAAACCTGGATTATTCTGGAATATATTCTTCGTTATTGATGTCTCACACTATATTCAGATGATAATTATATTTGTTGGATAAAATGACTTTCCATTGTGTTATATTATTCACTTAAATTTATTGTGTTATTCTGTTTTAGTGCAATGCACTTCTACATGATATTTTCATGGCTATAACCTTAAGCTTCAGTGAACAATTTGTAGTTTATCGACTTTGTAAGGTAATGATACGTTAATTTAATACTTTATATGATGTGATTTACTTAATTGCAATTTCATTGATACTATCTAACACATATGAAACTGTTTTTCTCATTGAAGACTATACTTATGAATGCATTCGTTTACCAACAACCTTCAAATTGCTTATCAATGGACAAGATAATATTTGAAGTATTGATCACGTTTGATTCTAGAGAAATGTAGATCCCAAATAACCTTGTGTGTGAAATGTAGGTCATCGCGATGCTGACCTCGTGCATTAGAATGTATAATTCATTTGTTTATGAGTGTTCTTTAGACCTGATACTAAAATACCAGAAACAGTTAAGGCTGTCAATAAATTACATTAAATACATGAGATATTTGTAAGTTATATTTTAGGTGAACACAGCAGAAAATTGAACTGGAATTAACCACAGGAAAGTTCATTTAAAGAACAGGACCACTACAAGACTAATCATGTTTAAACAACACAATATTAAAAGTCGAATACCAGATGTGTTAAGAAGACTCATATTTTTTTTACAAAGCAATCACATTTCAGCAAACAAACTGTCAGAGTAATATGTGTATTTGGTTCGGAAATTACCTTGAGTCAAAAACACGAAGTCCTACTTAGTTTACAAATTCAAACAAATAATAGATACAAAACTAGACAGATAGATACGTACTAAGATGCACATATACATCTCTGTTGAAAACATGTATCCCATTAATCATGAAAAGTACCACAACACAATTTAATAAGATAAGGAGTGATAAATTTACTGATAAGGCTGATATAGACAAAAATAAATGACACAGAAGCTCAATGTGAACCACTAAAAAGTCATCAGATGAAGTCAATTAAGGAGATTTACTGTGAATTTCAAAATCATCAGTGATGACGATTTATGGAGATTGTAGTATTTTCATACTTCAAAACACTAACCCATCTTAGCTCAATGTCGAGAAGTCGCATACTATGACGAAATGGTCATCTAACGCTTCCAAGTTTTCAATGGTGATCTAGCTAAGATCAATTTTTGAATTTCATTATTGACAAAAATAGAATATATGACAACCAAAGTAAGTTATTTAGGTTCTGTAATTATAATGGCCATTAGAGACTATATACTAACAACGGTAGATATTAAACTCATCAATCCACTGACCGAATTGAAAAATGTTCATCTAAACGTTTCTGAGAATTTTAAAAGTGGTAACATTGTAGTGATCGCACACTCAAGTGAGAAATTGTTTCGTAAAATGTGAAAACCATAGATTAAATACATTATTTACAAATCTCCCAACAGTTATCTCAAACATAATCGTTATTTCATTGCTATTACAATTACTATCAGTTTACATTCCCGTTCTCTTCTCTTCAATCTTCTCAGTCTTCTGCTGGTAGGCATTTCACTTCCGATAGGCGTTAAATACTACTGATGTTGACAGACATAAGTAGCATAAACCACAATTTTTGTCAACTTAACAAATTCTCTTTATACCTAGTAATAAATTATTTCATCAATTTTGATCTAATAACTGGTCAATAGTCTACAAATAAACTCAATCGAACTGGATTACTCAAAATTCACTGATTATTAGTAACATTGAATCAAATGCATTTTCGATTAATTTTTATCGTGGATTAGTTGAAATTAGACATTAACACCACTGAATGATGGCTCAGTGGTCTAAAGGTTAAGTGTTCACGTGGAAGACCGTAGGTCCTGGTTTCCATACCCTCATGCAGGATCGTGGATGCACACTGATGAGGAGTCCCACAAAAGGGCAAAACGGCCATCCAGTGCTTCCAGGTTTTCCATGTTGATCTAGCTTCAATTGACTCATGATCTCAACTGTTGAAATTACTATAATATCCACAAAAACCGCTTCTGACACTAATTTTTATCAATTCACTGATTTTTAAACTATTCTAAACTACTTCATATTCTTCCGCTTCTTCTATTTGTATCTTATAGAATGGTGGATTTTGCTGAAAATTTCAAAATGTCTATATGAATATCAGTTTCCAAACAAAAAACATTTATATTACATGATGTTATTCGCACAAATTAAATATACTATTGGAATATTCAAATTCTTTTGTTTATTATCAAAAATGAATACAGGTTTGAACTCAATCAATAACTTATAATTGGCTAAGAATATACTAGTCGTTTGTGTAGTGCATAGTTTCATTCCTGAATCTTCTTGAATAGGATCATCTATCAACTCATTATATAGGTGCTAATTGTTTGTTACATAGAGTGAAAATTTGGAAAAATATATTCAAACTTTTAGTAATCACCTACTTTTCTAGACACAATGAATCGGTAAACTAATATAACATCCATGACCTCGCCTCGCGTGATTCGAACCCAGGACCTATCGTGGATGCGCACTGCTGAGGAGTCCCACAATAGGACGAAACGACCGTCAAGTGTTTCCAGGTTTTCCATGATGGTCTAGTCTCAATTGACTCATGATCTCAACTATTGAAATTGCTACAATCTCCACAAAACCCGTTCTGATGCTAATATAACACGATTAGAATAAATAGATAAGAAAAATATATTGCAATGTAAAGAACCGTTGGATTGTTCCTTTGATAAAACGAAGGTTTATAATCAGTTGAGAAATATAAATGCTGAAGGCATACAAGAAATTTCAAATTATTATTATCATCAAAAAGATATTTTATCACTATAGATAACTTTTTCCATGATTAATGAGAACATTACTAAAGAGTTAGGGATAATTATAATGAAATTATCAATCTACCCTTCTTGCTTATTAGAACTAATGTATAAAATATAGATCAGTAACACTGAGGCATTGATATTTTCACTCAGGTTGGAAATTTGTATCATGTAGCTCATGGTTAAGTGATCACTGAGTAGTAACTAATTTTGTGTCCGTCTAGTCCTTATTGTTGGTCGAGGCATATTGATCAATTTGAAGTGTGATTACTAGTTTAAGTGTATCGATACCGCATAAACTATGTTTTGGTGTTGGATAGTTCGAGGTCGCCAGTAAAAAACATTCATTGGTCCAGCTTTTGCACTGATTTGCACTCATCGGCAAGGTCTGGCTACAATCCTGAAATAATTAATGCTTTCAACGTGATCTTCAGTTTTACAAGAGGTCCATTAATTATGTAAATAGCTTAGCAGTGTCGTTTTGGATTCTGAAATTAGGCAACGAGGATTCAAATTCCATTTTAAGCACTAGTTCGACAAGGAATGTCGGTATACCTTTCAGATGGGTGTTGAAAAGCCCGAAACTTATTTTTGACCTTTTCTACCGATTACCTCCAACTAACTAACGTCATCCCCTCTCTTAACAAAGGGTGCTGATACATGTACTTCGTAGAAATAACAATAATTTCTGTTTACTGTGATGTTGGAGAGTCATTAGTTAGTCAGTTGGTCTTTAGAAATTGATCGTAAGGTTAAAATTTATCATTTCTTTATAAATTTTATCTAATAACAAACTTTTAGGACTATTACTTGACTAGTATCTTTTAAATAAATAGATGTTTAAGTACGTTTTCACTTGTCAACTTTTATTGATTATGTATCGAAATAAATCACTAAAATGGAGTTAATAATTACCATATAAAGAAATGATTTAGAATTTTGATTGGTGAACAACTTCAAACTAAATATTCAGCAATATATGCGAGATCACTATCTCGCGAATTATCGATTAAATAACTGATTTGTATACTTTGTACACTGTAATCAGAAGTCACAGTTGATCTGAAAAAATATGATAGGTCTTGTGAATACATTTTAAAATAACTTCATTACTTTACTTACCCGTCAATGCACTTTCACATTACCATTAAGGATGATTATTTTGAATGGAAAACATTGATAATTGAATATAAAGAAGAATGGTATGATACACTGCTGAAATTGTCACACTACTACTTCTCAGATCAAAGTTGATTAACGATTATTAGAACTTAAGTACTTTACAGGTTGTAATTTTAGATCTGTAAAACAAGCCACTTGTTAATAATCAGTACGATAAATTTATTCCATAAAAAATGAAACAGTATAGTGACTATCATTCGAAGCTGTCTTAACAAATTAATGGAATATCAGTAAATCTGTGATAACTTTATGAAAAGGGAAGTATGAGGTTGATAAATAATCAATTTACGAATAATAACAGAATGATGAAAATCTCATATTTAACTTGGATGTGAAAAATTTTGAACCAGATGTCATTGTATCCGGATTGAAATCATTATTTCAGTTGACTGCATATATACATATATTATATATTAATTCCATGCTTTGTATTCATGGATTGATTGAAACTAGACATTAACACCATTGAATACTTGCTCAGTGGTCTAGAGGTTAAGTGTTTACTTGTGAGACCGAAGATCCTGACTACTGTCTCCCACGTTCACAGTCACTTTTCGACTTTATTGTGTACAGATGTTGTTTCCTATTTTATGGTGCGTTGAAGTCTGTTTGTTCGATATATAAACCCAGTATGTCTGAAATAAATAATTCGATTCGATTCACATAGTGGAAGCTGGTTTTGGTGTTATGGACTCAAGTGGACGGGCTAGGCGGACCATAAGACTAATAAGGACGCTAGGCTGCTCATACCGGTTGAATGCCATTGATTTGGCACAGTGCTAAGATTGTATAAGTTGTATTTTGATTGGTGGATAAATCACATGATAACTAACATCGTTGTTACACATAATCAATATATGTTTTAAAGGATTCGTGCATTAAGTAACCATTCATTTTTAACCCTTTGATTTCATTGTGTTACTATCAAAGTTATAGGATATATACATATAATTTTCATTTCATCTCTTAAGTTTATTTACATCTTTGGTGGTATAACGCTAAGTCATAATTATAACAAATCCCGACTAAATTCATTTATTTAAGTATTTTCAACTAACATTTTCGACTTTGACTTTTAAACCTATTACAGGTTGTAAGCAACAGTGTATGAGTATCTCATGAAATAAAATGAATTTATATGTGAAAATTATATTTGAAATAAACTCAGTGATTGAAATTTAAAATAATTCCAAAGTTTCGTCCAATAAACTTGCCTGAACTTCTTCAGAGTATTTAAGTTTCCATTGTTGGGATTATTTGAAATATGATTTTCACAGATAATATTTTACTCAATGACCAATTTTTGTCAAACTATTCATTCTAATCATTATAGGTGAAAATTATATTTGAAATAATCTCAGCGATGAAAATTTAAATAATTTCAACCTTTTTGATTATATTACCCTGAAGAAGTCCAGATAAGTTAGCTGGACGAAACGTTGGAATTATTTAAATTTCAATCGCTGAGATTATTTCAAATATAATTCTCCACATATAAATGGCGCCCAATTTCTGTCAAACTATTCGTTCCAATCTTGACGAATATTCGTATATTCATTCTAATATTGAAAAATATTCATATAAAATGAATTTCTGTTATCATACACAAATCATTATTCTTACTCTTTACCAATTTCAGATTATGTCAAGTTCTTACTTAAAAATATCATAGGAATATATCATTTATGACATAATGGTGATTTATTAAAATTAAGAAAAAAAGGGTGACTGATGTTAGATAACAGAAACGATCACATCACCTTCTCTCTTGTTTCTACGTGATTCAGTTATTGAATAATAGATCATCTGAATTATTCAGTAAGAAAAAAAAAAGAATAAAGACCATAATTCATCATAGATATTCTTTTAATTAAAAAGAATAGAAACATTGTAACTTTTCATCATCGATTTCAAGTATCAGCTGATATTCAGCTGGAATAAAATCAATAATCTAACAAAATTATTTCACTGTTTATTTCTATGTTAAAACAATATATCGAGGTTCACTTGTGTTATAACTTTTGAAGCTGTGTGCCCTCTTTATGGTATAACGCAACGACACCGCTGCGAATTATCGACCGAACACGTCACGCATAAAACACGTGCGAGCTGCCTACGGTCCTGATTGGTCTCGCTACCTGTCTAGGCCAACAAGTTAAGACCATAACACCAATCTCAATCTCTGAAATATGAATCATTTATTTCAAACATACTCGGTTTATATACCAATCAAACAGACCACAACGTACCATAAAATAAAAAATAACATTTTTACAATATTCGGCCAAAAGTGGCTGTGAATGAGGGAGATAGTGATTAACAGACAGGGAATAATTCAAGAATAGTAAATCGTATAATAAAAGTTCATAGGTCAAAATAAAACTCATAATAAGTGGGACATGAATATGAACAGTTTAGTTACATGACAATTATACGATAAAAATATACTCATAGTATTGGTCCATAAATGGATCTCAAAAACTACCATTCATTATTCTTATTGGGTTATAACAACTCGGTATTGTTTACTTGAATCTTCCCATTGATGTTTAGGATTGCAATTAATCGGTCTCTGATTGGCATACGTGCATCCTGTACGGGTTCCCTCGACATTGCCTTAATTCATAAGCATTATAAGCAAAGATGGATAGTAGCTAGCAAAGGAATCCAGGACGCTCGTTTCGTCCTGTTTGTGACTCGTCAACTGGATGTATCTGCATCTCAGAGTTGATGTTCACTCTGGGACTCGAACCTAGTACCGTTCGCTTCAAACGCACGTCCTGGATTCCACTACTAGCCACTATTCATCTTTGTTCATAATATACTGAGATGTTTAACAGTTAAAACTCCCTTTGTATAATAATGGAATATGTGAATCGTCAATTATAGAAATGAATCTATGTGTGTTTTTTGTGTGGAAAATAATAAATTAATCAATAGACAAATAACTAATTTGAGGCTAATTGAAAAATGCCACTAATTAAACGTACTATTAAAGGTTTTATAATGAGGTGAGATAATCCGCTTTCCTATCAAGATGAACTAATTGTAAGCACTAAATCTATTCTCCAAAATAAAATTTCAGAATGATAATTCAGTCAAGATAATAACTAACTATTACCATGATTTATGGTTAATAATACCTTCTTGAAGTAAGTTGTATATGAGATGAAATATTGGCTTCATTCACACACTAAAGCTTACATTATGTACA